ATAGATAGATAGATAGAGATAGAACAGGTAGGTAAGTGGATAGATACAGGGATAGAAATAGAGATAGAATAGCTAGATAGAATAGGTAAGTAGGTAAATAGATACAAAGAAGATTGAAATAGAAATGGTAGATAGATAAATAGATAGACAGACAGAAAGATAGAATAAGTAGCTAAGTAGATAGATATATAGAAGATAGAAATAGAGATAGATAGACAGGCAGATGGTAGATAGATATAGATGGAGCAGATAGATAAATGATAGATATTATATATATGGGGCATAGATGGATGGATGGATGGATGGATAGATAGATAGATGATATGTATGAACTAAATATGAAGATGGTTTATTATTATAAACATTATTATAAACATGCCAATAGAACCAACAGAATTACAAATAAGCTAAAATAAAGAGAAATTTAGTTAAAGCCATTTGGTTACCTTAGTATTGTAGTTATTAGTATATATATTAATATTCCTTTTCTTTCTTTGCTTTTCTGTAAATGATATGCCCTGACAATACCCTGTATTCAAAATGAATGAGTGAATGAATTCTTTATTGGCCATGGATGTTTATGAATATATATATTTAGGCAGAATCTCCTCTGCCATCATCAGGCTTCACAGAGGAACACAATACAGAAGCCTGATGATGGCAGATGAGATTCTGCCGAAACGTTGCTACAACTTTAAAAGCACAACTATAATGACGTGGGAAAATACCCGAACAAAGCTGAATACCATATGTTTGGAAACTGAAAGAGTATTTGCTGTGTGAGCAAGAAGGAGACAGCAAGGAGCCTGGGCGTGGCTTAGCTCAACTGTACTAAAGCTGATTGCTGCTGTGAAACTAAAACTAAAACTGAAACTCCTCTCCTCTGCTTGGGTTTTGCATTTGGAACAGATTTCTTTTCAGGTGGGGAGGGGGAGTAGAACTTCTTAGCATCAGAGCCTGTTAATAATAACAATATACAAAATACTCTAAATGCTCTGATGGTCATTTTGAAAAACGCTTTCTTAGTGAGTACCTGGAAGCCAAGAGCAACATACATGCCAAATTTCAACTTTGTAGGCTTTACAGTTCTGGAGATTTTGTGATGATGATGAGGGGTATTTCGCTTTTATAATATAGAGACATAATTTCTTTTCAGTAGGGATTCTCGGAGTAGGCTCAAGAGGTCTCAAAGGTAGTGTAAGGCATACAGGTGTGCATACCCAAACATACCTGAGAACCACTGGAGACACTAAAACCATGGAGCCAACACCAGAAGTGTAATTAATCTTCCAAAACCCACCTTAAAAAAACAAAAACCAAAATGGGGACAGATTGAATTTCTATAATTCTGGCTATCAAGAGCTATCAAGAGTCATCCATCTTGCAGTACTGAATTATGTTAGTCTGATGCTGGGTTGAGAGGTAGAGATGATACATATTCCAGGGGTCTCCAAAATTGGCAACTTTTAAGACTTCGGGAACTTCAACTCCCAGAATTCCTCAGCCAGCCGTGGTTGGCGCTGTGGTTTAGACTACCTCAGAACATCTTTCTACTTTCGCATAGGGTGCTGCCTCCTCCTCCTTCCTCTTCCTCTCCTCCTCTCCCCTTCCTCCTCCTCTTCTTCCTCCTCTTCTCTTCCTTTTCCTCCTCCTCCTCCTCCTCTTCTTCCTCCTCTTCCTCTTCCTTTTCCTCTTCCTCTTCCTCCTTTTCTTTCTTTCTTTCTTTCTTTCTTCCTTCCTTCCTTCCTTCCTTCCTTCCTTCCTTCCTTCCTCTTATTGGCCACCTTCTGGCTTCCATTCATGGTTCCAAGGCTCCAGGCCGCCCCATTCTCCACCCCCCTTCACACAGACTGTCAATCCCCCCTGAGCAAATGCACTTGATTTGATTATCTCCTGTTTATTTATTTATTCATTCGTTTAGGGGCAAAAAAGGCGCTTTCTTTCCTGGCTCCCTCCCTTCCTCCCAGCTGCCTCCAAAAATTAGCTTCTTCCTCCCTCTTTCTCTCTCTCTCTCTCTCTGTCTCCCCCCTCCCCTCCCCCCCTCCCCCCCCCCCCCTGCCTCTCTCTTTCCCTCCTTCCCTCTCTCCCTCTCCCTCCCTCCCTTTTTCTCCCAGTCTCTCCCTCCCCTCTCCCTCCCTCCATCTCTCTCTGTCTTTCTGTCTTTCCCTCCTTCCTTCTCTCTCTCCCCCTCCCTCTCCCTCCCTCCCTCTTTTCTCTCTGTCTCTCCCTCCCTCCCTCCCTCTGTCTTTCTGTCTTTCCCTCCTTCCTTCTCTCTCCCCCTCCCTCCCTCTTTCTCCCTCCCTCTCTCCCTTTCTCTCCCTGTCTCCCTCCCTCCCCTCTCTTCCTCCCTCCCTCTCTCTGTCTTTCTGTCTTTCCCTCGTTCCTTCTCTCTCTCTCTCCCTCCCTCTCTCTCCCTCCCTCCCTCCCTCCCTCCCTCTTTTCTCTCTCTCTCTCTCTCCCTCCCTCCCTCTGTCTCCCTCTTTGTCTCTTTCT